AATTATAATATTATGAAATTATAAACTTATATAATAAATGATAATATTTTAGTTATAATATAATTAAAAATGACAACTATATCATGTTATACTATAATATAATATATTATTATATAATATTAAATAAATATATTATAATTAACACATTATGTAGTCTACACTATAAGAGATAATAATATTGGAATTATAAGATTATAATAACATTTAATTATATTAATTATTATACTATTATTAATATAATAAACATAATTATATTAATACAATATAATATAATTAATAAGATCATATTATATAAAAAAATAATAATATTAGAATTATTAATGTAATCATAATATTATTTGTAACAATATTACAACTATATTATATTATATCATATTATTGTATTATTATATTATATTATATTATATTTTAATATTATTATATGTTATATAGTAAGATATAATTACGTTATAATATATAATATTAAATAAATATATTATAATTTTTAACTATATTATACATTATATGATATTATTATGTTATTATAATTATATTATATTATAATATTTTTATTATATATATTATATTATATTACATATTATAATATTGTAATCATATAATAATATTAAAGGGTAATTATGAAAAAAAAAAAGAAGAAAAGAGCTTAGAATGACTATTCTTCTTATGTGATTACTATTCCTCCCATGTGATTGAAGAATGATGATTCATTCAAAATAGTTGAATGACCATTCATTTTTTATAAATCCAACTAAACATCACACTTAAATTCAATTCTATTCCTTTTCTTTTCATCCAGCCAAATGCATCCTTAATTAGGAAAGTAGTTTTCCTTGTAGGTTTGAAAATGTCCTAAACAGCGCATAATAAAGATCTTTTAATTTAAGCCTCTATTTTCTTAAAAGTAATATTCTTGTTCTCCCATGAAAAAAGCCAAGAAACTTCCCCAGATAGAGTCTTCTCAATTGTCTTTATACTATGAACTTATCTGCCTACATCACAAGAATATCCCTTGGCCCCAAAACAAGAAGGACCAATGAAGCCAAAACAAAACTACATAAATATAAATAAAAATTAAAATGGCAAAAAAAAAAAAGAAAAAAGGATTCTAACTTCCAATGAACTAAGAAGGCATATATTAGGATTTATTGACGAAGAACATATGCTATGCTTTCATAATACATTGTCTCGTATAATAGATACTACAGACTTTATGTTATAGTTATATTGTGCCGTCTGAAAGGCATATTTTGAGTGCCTTACATAATTTCTGACACAAATTTCCAAATGAGAAACATACATACATACATATATATATATATATATATATATATATATATATATATATTCTCAATGGGATAGTAACTTAAAAGTAAATGGGTTGTTAAGCCATGATTTCCAGCAACTGATTCCCTTCTGAGCAATTAAATCTGATGGCTTCCTATCTGTCACTTGCAGCTGCCTCTGCTTCTTGCATAGCATAAAGTTCCTCACTCCTTGAGACCCTATCTGTGCCAACGGACTTAAAGCTAACAAAGAGATTAAAAAAAAACAAAAATAAATAGAAAATAAATTAATTAACACGAGAAGATGAGCTTTGAACTAAATCTGTTATGAAAACATAGAAGCCGAAATGTCATAAATCTCAAACTAACGAAAACTTGAGTTTTAACAAAACAAATATATTTTTCTTCGGCTAGCTATGTTTGGTAAGAGACAAAAAATAAGAAGGAAAGTAAAAACATGTAACCTCGGTGAGAAAAATAGGGAGAAAGAGGAGGAGGTTTTTCCATCTTCTAATGACTTTATATTTAGAGAGATTAAGGATAATTTATGCTTATACTTTTAAGCAGTAAAAGAAGATAAGCATAAGTTAGAGTTTTTTAATTAGTGTTTAGATAGTGCATGAAAAAATGCTTTTATATTTAAGAAGAGTCTTTTAACCTGTTTGGGTAAAAAAATCAAAAACACTAATTGTTATAAAATGCAATGTAATAAAAAGATATGGATAAGATATTTAATTTGTTGTTCACAAAAAAATGTTAAAAATGTAAATAAAAAAGTTTTTTATGAGTACCAAGGAGATGACTTATTAAAAAAGTGCTTAAAAAGCAAAAAATACTTTAAGATTGTACATCCAAACAGATTTAAAAACGGCTTTTAAACTAAATAAGTCAAAAATTGTTGTTGTTGTTTTTTTTTTTTTTTTTTTTTAAGCCAATCCAAACGGCCTTAAAATTGAGGTTTTTGGAAGAATTAGAAATTGTTTGTCCAATCTATTGCCTTCCCGTTTCTCTTTTAACCCTTTTACTAATCTTATCACTCATTTTTCTCCTTCTATTTTTCCCTCTTACCAGACAAGTTCAAGACTTAACGTCACCAAAATCCCAGATTATCAAGAGGATGCACTAACGAAGTTGAAAACACAAGATCGAAAGGATGAAAAACATGAGTATGGAACAATCAGTAAAATATACAAAATAAATTGTTAATACCCTATTAACAATATCATTGACTGATGGAACCAAATTAAAAGGGGAAAATAAAAAATTGTATTGCGGTATAACAAAACACCTTATCGCTCGATGTGGAACACAACTTTTAATCATTTAATCACATAAGATTTATATATAAAAATATTAAATAATTTGACAAACTTAAATAGAATCAAACATTAAAAGAAACATTTTAACAATAAAGTGTATATATATATATATATATATATATATATATCCCTCCTAATTCTCTTCCTCCTTATCTCTCCTACCAAACAACCCATTTTTCTACTCTCCCACAAAATCTCTTATCTTCTTCCTTTCTTCCACTTCTCACCTCTACCAACAAACACGGCGCATGTAAAAGGCAGAACTGATCAATACACGCAAAAAGGCATCTTCGAAGAGTAAAATCACAGCAAAATCATATAAATATATGTATATTTATATGTGTAGTAGTTTAAACAAAACTTATAATAACGATCATATAAACGAGGGTAAAAGTGAGTCTGTTTTCCGAGAAAGCAAAAAAAAAAGTTAGGAGAAAAGAAAGGGTAAGAGGGAAAGTACCATCAGATCCTGCATTGGCGCAGTAGAGAAGGAAATCATTGGAGTGAGTACCAAGAAGAGGAAGCCTTCCTTCTCTTGCGTATGATCTGAGAGCAGTTTCTATGACTGAACTCACCACATCATCCTCATTCACCACGAATCTCATCGGACCCGCACTTCCAAGAACGTTGACAGTTATCAACAACCTCCTTTTCTCACTATGACTATGACCATGATCACCACCAGTACTGTTGTTGTTGTTCTTGATCTTCTTGTGCTGCTTAATCTGCATTCTTTCCTTGTTTGTATTTTTTTGTGTCTGATTTCAGTACCAACTGTACAAGAGAGTTATTGTCTTATTGATTGTGTACTTGGTCGTTTAAGGGTCGAGACCGAGGCAGCGGCGGTACCAGGTGGTGGAGGAGGTGAAGGACTGCGCGTGTCGGGTACGCGCGGTAGCCCTCCTCTGAGAACTACGGTGGAGAAGAAAGTGCATCTAACAAAGTCCTTAAGGAGATTTCTCCACCGCACTTCCTCAAAGAGGAGACAGAAAGAGAGACTCCACGCGGAAGGAGGGAGATGAGAAGTGTTTGTCTATAAATTAAGTGGAAAGCACAGAATATATATATATATATATATATATGATATATATCTATATATATATATATATATACGTGTATGCATATACATGTATGTATTTATCAGGCTTAAATAGAAATAGAAACCTGCTTTTCAACTTGTACTGCCAACAGCATTGCAAGGCGCTTTCATGAATAGGGAAGAAACACAAAAGACAAAGTGCACCCAAAGCACAAGCCGGGACTTTGAGGAGAAGATAAAAAATTGGTATATTAGGAGAAGTGTTTGCTAAAATCATGAGAAAATTAACATAACATATTAATAAGGGGAATTATTTGGTAAGGTATGAAAAAAGGAAATATATTCTACTACTAGGATATGCTGAAAGAACAAAAAGACGAGATAATTTCAAGTTCATATATACGATTACAATTATATAAATATATAAATATGTATATTACACCAACCAGTCCTAAATGTTTATATATGTAGAAATTTTGCTATCAGCAACATACTTCGTGTTCTTCCAATTTTAATTTGTAAGAATAATTAATCACTGTTATTGAACATCACAATTAATAGAGAATAAACCCTATCTATATATCCCGCTTAATTGAACCCACTCTTTATTGGCATGTGGTGTTGAACACTTTTTTTTTTTTTTTTTTTTCCTTTTTGAATTTGAGCCTCCCTCTATCAAACTTATGAATATATTGCGTCTTATACCATGCAAAAATGTTGACATACATCCTAAGCCTAAGCTTTGTACTCTCATAAGATGGGCCCCGCGGATCACATTGAGATGCTCTGCTATATACAGCTCTTCTATACCATATGAGTAGTTCTATTTTAAAGATATGAGCCTTTCTGCCTAGCAAAACAAGGTTGGCAACTTGGCATGACTGCAAAACAATGGATCATAGTCATTATTCAGCAGATGATTTTTCTAGAAAAACTCTTATGAATTCTCTCTAAATTACTACCCTTCATTGTATGATATTTGTATTATCAAGACAGCCTAATAACCTACGCTGGGATCTTGCTTGATAGGAGAGAAAAGCGTAAAGAGGAAAAGTGATGAGAGAAATAGTGAAAGGATTTTGGTAGCGTTTTGATGTTCTGTCAAAGAGAAGAAAATAGATTGAACGAGTGATTTCAAATCCTTCAAAAAAGGTGGGAAGTGGGGTATATATTTGTTGTTATTTAATAAAGTTAAGATATTTGACGTGTTAAAATAATAACATTTCTTGATCACTTTAGTACAAAACGTTGAGCTGAGAACGAATAATAACAAAATTTTACCCCGAATTGTACCTTAATAACAATTATAACTTGCCAATAATTTGTCGAGCTGTACAATTCATAAACAAAGGACATTATTTGTAGTTTCTACATATTAGAACAGACATATTAATACATTTAAATGTTGAAGCTGAGAACGAATATTTGTAACTTAGCATAATGACAAAATACATATTAGTCATACTCGTAATCGTATGATGAAATTGTATGTTTTAAAATATCAAATGATAGATTTTGGCCGGTTCGACCTATTTGGATAAAATTATTCAAAGTGGGTGAGAATATTGCATTATTATTGTGCTTACATTTGTCGTAAAGTAAGTGTTGCGCTTACACGTCAGATGAAAGTAGTAAGTTTTGTAATTTGCATCTCAAACAAATATTCCGTTCTTTAAAAAAAAAATAATAATAAAAATAAAAATCTATAGTTTTATAAGAATATGACAACGACAGCCAGGAGCTCAATCAGCCTCAAGTTTGGGATTTTATTATTATTATTATTATTTTTATAAAGAAGCCAGCCTCAAGTTATATCTAAAGTCTTATTCAAGTAATATCACCTACCCTGAATTTAAAAACAGAAACAATAAACTTTCAGGTTGAAGTTTCTTGTGAGGTGGTTGTCATTTAATAATTAACATTAATTAACAAAGAAAAATATAGTAACGTTGAAATCGCTTAAATAATCCAACCAATCATGTTTCTGTTACAATTTCCTGTACGCTAAAATGATGGATCTTTTTAACTTAACCTAATTCTGATTGAATTTTAAAATGGATTACTTGTACGAAAAGGAGAAGGGGTTGGAATAGGAAAAGGAAAATATGTGGGGTAGCTTTTGTTTTTTGAAATGATGAAACTTTGTGGGTGGTTCAGAATTCACCATTATGAGGAAGATTACACTAGAAAAATGTCTGTTGCAAATGATATAAAATCCTCAAAATCTTATGATCAATATTATAGAAACTGCAGTGTTGCATTGCATGCTTTCAAGTTGAGATTCAACCTAAATAAAATAAGGACATGATAATGGAATTGTTTAATTGTTAATTAGAAACAGCTCTTCTGAACGACAAGAGTCGTTAGGCTGTCCCATACAGTGTATCAAAAAATTAAGCCGCGTTATTACATCATAGATTAAGAACCCTAATGAGCATGCTTAAGAAATAGAAATATTCTTACGCCGACAGCTCTTTCAAACGCAGAGAGTCGTTAACGCTATCCGGTTTACAACTACCATATCGATTACGCACACAAAAAGCATGGCTAAGAATCATATGTATTGTCAGAAAAATGTTGGATACTCTTGAAAGTAGTATTTGTTGCATATTATTATATACACATGACCAAAACTAGACTCCAAAGAGTTTTACTCGACAATTAACAAGTTATTCTGCATTAACCCTTCACCAACAGTTGGGAATTCTGGGGACAGTTGCCACTCTCCATCCACCAAGAACTTGATTTCATACCTTCACAGATTAAAAGGTTTCGTCAGACAGGAAATGAGGAAAATAGTACGTGAAGGATGAGAAGATGCATGTATAGTATAATAACCCAAACTAAAGTTACCTTCCAGGTCTCAATGGTAATGTTGTTGAGAACTTGGTGTAAGAACCTGTATATTCTGGTGACAAAGACTCTCCTTGACTCCAGCCGTCGAATGTGCCCATGACTTGGACACTCTGATACCACAACACACAAATTAGCGTTGCTAAAAGTTGTGCTCCTGAAAACCTAGCTAGATTTTAAGTCAAAAAGGTTCCAAATCATACATGGAGCGAAAGCAAAAAAACATATTTTAGAGCTTTTAGATTTTCTGATCCCGAAGTTGAGACTCACAGTATTTCGCGCTCTGAAATAAGTGGATTAAAGTGATTAACATTTGACAGAAAAATATGTACATTTACTGGTGACTTCACATGACATTAGTTAGTCGATTCACTCTGGAATTCTCTACGGCCTTTTTTGAAAGTAAAATGCTAGCTAAAACAAACAAGAGTTTTTGCCTTGGACCTTTGTGAAAAATAACTAAAAATTCATCCGTTCTACCTATGAATATAAAGCAAGCTGGTTGATGCATGAAGAGGCTAAAAAATGGTTCAGTTTCTTACATCCCGAGGTAGCTTTTAACTGTTTACCAACTTTAGTGTTACTCTAGTATAGGCATCCACTATAAAAGTTTTGAGTTCGATTTAAGTTAGCTCAAAAGCCACCACAGTGCGTTTGGAATTAGTTTTAAAATGATTTTATTTTCAATAAAAAGTAAAAATGAGATTGTTTTGAGAATCATTCTGAGACCGATTCTGAAATTGCGTTTAGTTGGTTTTTTAAGAGATTATTTTGAGTATAATAAAAAAGTGAAATCGTGTTTATTAATTAATATATTATAATATTGTTGATAAGTACTAAAAAATAAAAACAGAAAAGTGAAAACAACTTTAAACTGTTTTCTAATTCCTTCACAAAAACCATTCCTACTGTTTTCGTTTTCAAAACATTTGCTAAACAAACGTCGTTTCGTTTTCGTTTTCGTTTTCAAAACATTTGCTAAACAAACGTCGTTTCGTTTTCATTTTCATTTTTTACTTCTCGAAATATGTGAAAACCGTTTTCAAAAACGGTTCTAAACACGCACTTCATATCTCAGGTCAGGGGATCCATCCAACACCTCGTTAATAAATCCACCCTCAACCAATTCGAATAGAGGGCTCAACACATCTATCTAAGATCTAAGTATATTATATAGTTCAACCACTGTTAGGAAGTGTAGTATGTTAGGCGTGGCTTTAATTAAGCCTGTTAGCTTGTTTTGGGTATTGGGCCAAGGCATTTGAGTAGTGAGAGATACTTGACAGGCTTTTGTAATCTCCTTTGGTTATAGTGGAATTTTTTCACCGTTTCTTGTTCGTGGATGTAGTCCAAAAGCTGAACTCCATTAAATCCTCGCGTCTCTTAGATTTTATAGTTATTCATATTTTGTCTTGAATCCGTTTAATTTGCCATTTGGTACAACATAGCAATCCATCTTACACGGACAACAATTCACTAATATGACTGGAAAACACCAGATATCGACTTACCTCGGCTACGCCATACCAGAATAAGGGAACCTCCTTAGACTGTGCAACTTCAACATCCTTTGTCTGCTCCTTCAATTTCTCAAGTACAGCTTCAAAATTTTTTTTTTTTTCGGGGGGGGGGGGGGGGAAGAAAAGTGCATCTGTTAGCCACTATAAGAAAAGCTCCTGAAAGTTTAACTATTGTTTAAAAGAAAAGAAGAAAAAAGAAGAAAAAAGAAAAAAAGAATTCAAGAACTAACACAACAAAGAAGAAATAAATCCAACACATAAAACCAGACGCTAAAGTTACAGAATTATAAACCCAAGTTCAATGATGCCACTCTCATTGCACCAATATAATCAAGAATCATGTAACTTTGTAACTATTTTAGTTTAGTTTTTATGGTGAGATATGAGGTGTAGCTGAGATCACTATAGTAAAAGATATCATTGGACAGCAACATGATTATACCTTCAAGCCGGGAAAGAAGGTGTGATTGAATATATTTTCCATTGATCTTTCTTGAACCTTCTGGAATGGCAGATTTAGCTATTTCCTTTGCTAGTTTTACCAATGCCTGCTCATAAAAATCATGACATCAAATGTTTTAACAAAATTCTACGATGTGCTGCCCGAAAACGCTCATCTCTTAAGCCATATTTCCAGAAGTCCAATGGATAGTTATAATTTCTAAATAAGAGAGAGGAATTTAGATTATCGATGCTTCAGAAACAAAGTAGAATACAAAATGTTAAACCAAAGTAAATTACGTTGGAGTTAAATCATATAACTGGCTTCTGGAATCTTTTGAACACTAAATAATGTAGAATGTCTAATAGATACCTTGGCCTATTGAAGAATAGGGCTTATAAGTTAGGCAGGTTTCAAACAGTTGGGAAGAATTGGAACTTTTCCTCATAGTCCGGTATGCTTGCTAGGACTTTACAATCCGCAATTCAACATGTAACGACATTTGCAGGTTCCAAAACATGACTGACTTCAGAAACAAGAAAGCCTTACACCCGTAGAGTATAAAAACAAGTTCCTTCTCAAGAACTGAGAAGCCAACATGTGCCTAAAATGGTTGACACTTCAGGGAGAACCAAGCCTCTTGAGTTTTGAAACCATGAAAACAAATTAACACGGACGAATTTGACAAAATTCAATAGTTTTGCGAGAGATAGAGATAAGTTGGTTTCAGTAAAGTAGACGCCTGAAAGTTTGTTGCCATTGGCACCACCACCCAGACCCTCTATATGTTACAAACTACAATAACCGTTGGCTACTTGCACAGGATTCTTTCTGCACAAGCAGCCATTTTCAAGTTTACCATTCCAGAGAATTATACAAAAGCGTTTGAGCGGCTAAAAATGTTTTATCAAGAAATAATGATAGCCTAATTCTGAATGTCCATTAACTTCTCTTTCATGGAATTTTCTCCTGACTAATAAATTATAAGGGCTGATAATCTGATCTCACACAATTCATCAGAAAATTATGCGGAATGCACTAGTTCCTGTAATGTTGAACAATGCTCAAATTACAGCATGCCCGTGCTAGAAAAAACTTTATAGACAGGCAGGGAAAAACAAGCATGAAACATTGACACTGATTTTAAAATTATGATAGGTTCCTGCCCAGATTTCCAGTTATCACAGCCAATATTGGGATAAATCCAACGTTAACAAGTTTTATTGATAATTTCTAATCTTCCCTCTCAATCGAGAGAAGTTCTTTCTTACACGATTAAACCAAATAGCAAGAAAAAAAGAAGAAAAACTAGCAAACAGAATGGCAGAAAATGGAACGTGGAGAATTCGAGGTTCTCCGTCCTCCAATGGTCCAGAATTCTTCCAAATATCTCGACCCCCTTCCCAAGGCTCTTCCTCGGCTCAAATACTCCCCGCACTCCCTTCACGTAACCAACTTGCCACGCTGGCACTTCCTTCACGTTGCCTCGCTGGAAATACTTTCAGTATTTCCACCTTCCTCCCCTCTTCTCAGCATATTACCCTTTGGGCCCCTTTTCCTAGAGTAAACCAATCTAATAGGTGGCCTAACATTACCCCACCCCAAACCACCACCACCCACCCAACCACCCGTGGACTCCCAATCGGGCAGGTCCTGCCACTTGATGAGAACCTCCGGTTCCTCACGTCCACCTACCACCACCACACGAGAGTCTAACCCTTCTGCCGGTTGCACACACAACTCCAAGTCATCGGACAACTGCCCGGGAAGAGGCTGCACCTGCGTCATGTGACCCTTGAAGGGCTTCAGCTGAGACACGTGGAAAATAGGGTGAAGGCGCGCCTCGGCCGGCAATTTCAAGCGATAAGCCACTGGTCCAATCCTGTCCAAGATCTCAAATGGCCCATAAAACCGTGGGGCAAGCTTCTCGTTAACCCGGCGAGCAAGTGTCCTAAGCCGATAAGGCCGGAGCTTAAGTAAAACCAAATCTCCCCCCTCAAAATCCAGCCCCCGGCGATGCGAATCAGCGAACTTCTTCATGCGTTGTTGAGCTAACAACAGGTGAGATTTTAGGAGATCCAACATCTCATTCCTTAGGGCCAGCTGAGCTTCCACTGCCTCTACAATGCCCGGGGAGTCAGAAAAATGGAACAAGGCAGGGGGATCGCGGCCATAGACAATTCGAAAAGGAGTGAACTTGGTGGATGCATTGAAGGTAGTGTTGAACCAGTATTCGGCCCACGGAATAAAGGTCGACCATTGTCGAGGCTTGTCGCCCGCAAAGCACCGCAGATACGTCTCCAAGCACCGGTTGACGACCTCGGTTTGGCCATCGGTCTGCGGGTGGTACGCCGAACTGGCACACAACTTAGTTCCCTGTAATTTGAAGAGCTCACGCCAAAATCCGAACAGGTGAGATTTTAGGAGATCCAACATCTCATTCCTTAGGGCCAGCTGAGCTTCCACTGCCTCTACAATGCCCGGGGAGTCAGAAAAACGAAACAAGGCAGGGGGATCGCGGCCATAGACAATTCGAAAAGGAGTGAACTTGGTGGATGCATTGAAGGTAGTGTTGAACCAGTATTCGGCCCGCGGAATAAAGGTCGACCATTGTCGAGGCTTGTCGCCCGCAAAGCACCGCAGATACGTCTCCAAGCACCGGTTGACGACCTCGGTTTGGCCATCGGTCTGCGGGTGGTACGCCGAACTGGCACACAACTTAGTTCCCTGTAATTTGAAGAGCTCACGCCAAAATCCGCTCATGAAAATTGCATCCCTATCGCTCACAATGGATCTCGGAATTCCATGGAGTTTGACGATAGAAGAGATGAATAGGCTAGCCACCTGCTTAGCCGAGAAGGGGTGGGCCAAGGGGCAGAAGTGAGCGTATTTTGAGAGGCGATCAACCACCACGAACACGGTATCGAAACCGTTAGACTTTGGAAGGCCTCCGATGAAGTCCATTGACAAATCTTCCCAAACCTGATTCGGGATGGGTAAGGGCTGCAGTAGCCCGGCGGGAGACAAGGCATCCGTTTTGTCCCTTTGACCCTTGCCCCATGCAGCCACATAGTCCCTGATCCGACGCTTCATTCCCCTCCAAAAAACCAGGGCGGACAGCCGTTTGTAGGTGCGCAGGAACCCCGAATGTCCGCCGATTACCGAATCATGAAATTCTTGGAATAGCCGGGGTATCCAGGGGGAATTTTCGGACAGCACTAACCTGTCTTTGTAAAACAGCAAGCCATTCTTTAATGCATAAGCCTCCATTACCTCCCCTGTCTCGAGCTTGGTTATCACGGAGGCCAATTCAGGTTTGGCCCGCTGTTCCCGCCGGATAGCAGAGAAATCCCATGTGTGCGGGATTGACAAAGCCGAGCACGAAACCTCATTCCAGTCTCCACGGCGGGACAGCGCGTCCGCCACCCGGTTGGCAGCCCCAAGCTTATACTGCACCTCGAAGTCATACCCAAGCAACTTGTAGATCCACCTTAGTTGCTCCGGGGGAAGTTGGCGCTGGCCCATCAAGAAGCGCAAGCTCTGCTGGTCCGTCCGAAGTATGAAGTGGCGCCCCAATACATAGTGCCGCCATTTTTGGACCGCGAGCACCAATCCCATGAGCCCTCGCTCATAAACCGACTTCAACTGGGACGTAGGGGACAGGGCCTTGCTAAAGAAGGCGATTGGCCTGCCATCTTGCATCAAAACCGCGCCCAGCCCCACCCCCGAAGCATCGGATTCTATCACAAAGGTCTTTGAGAAATCCGGCATAGCCAACACCGGCAAATGGGTCATGGCTGCCTTCAAATCTTCAAAAGCGCGAGCCGCCTCGTTGGTCCACACAAATCCTTGTTTCTTGAGGAGCTCTGTTAAGGGCCGAGCGAGGATCCCATACCCCTTTACGAAGCGGCGATAGTACCCGGTGAGCCCCAAGAAGCCTCGCACCTCCCGGGCACTTGTCAACGGGGGCCAAGACTCGATGGCCTGCACCTTAGAGGGGTCCGCAGCCACTCCTTGACCCGAGATGAGGTGGCCGAGATATTCCAATTGGGGTTGGCCAAAACTGCATTTTTCCTTGTTAGCATATAGCTTTTCCTGCCGCAGAACCCCTAGAACGGTGGTCAAATGGCGGCGATGCTCCTCCCACGTGCGGCTGTATACAAGGATGTCGTCAAAAAATACAAGGACGAATTTTCGAAGGTGGGGGCGAAAAATCCGGTTCATGAGGGCCTGGAAAGTGGCCGGGGCATTGGTGAGGCCAAAGGGCATTACGAGGAATTCGTAATGGCCCTCATGTGTGCGGAAGGCTGTTTTCTCCACGTCTGCCTCATGCACTCGGATTTGATGATATCCGGCCCGTAAGTCCAATTTGGAGAACACCATTGCCCCGTGAAGCTCGTCCAATAGCTCGTCAATCAAGGGTATAGGAAACTTATCGGGGATGGTCACTTGGTTCAAGGCACGGTAGTCCACGCAAAAACGCCAGCTACCATCCTTTTTCTTAACGAGAAGTACTGGGCTCGAGTATGGGCTGTTACTCGGCCTAATGATGCCGGCCGCCATCATGTCCGACACCAATCGTTCTATTTCCCCCTTTTGGACCTGCGGATATCGGTAGGGGCGCACGTTAGGGGGATCCGCCCCTTCGCGCAATAAGATCCGATGATCCCGCCCTCAGCATGGGGGCAGCCCCGAGGGGCTATCGAACACTTCCTCAAAGATCCCCAGGACCTCTTGCACCTCCCCTGGAATTTCTTTCTTTTTTTCCGTGCCTTGTAGTGCCAACTCACAGACCTCCACCAACAGACCTGCCTTGTGCAGGGGCAGAGTTCGAATTAATGAACTCATCTTCACCGGGGCATAACATAGGCTAGGGTCCCCTCGCCAATTTACCCATGTCGGACCTGCTCTAAATTTCATTGAGAACTTCGACCAATCGGCTCGTACCTCTCCCAGGGTACTCAGCCATGTAACCCCTAGGACTAAGTCAGCTCCCCCTAGTTCGAACGAAAAAAAATCCTCCTCTACTTGGTGTCCCTGAATCCACACTCGGACTCTCCTACAGACCCCGGTCTGTTTGAAACTCAACCCGTTACCCACAAGGATATTGTGGCTTACCGTTTGGTCGATCGGGAGTTGCAGCTCCGCCACCACCGCCGCGGAAATGAAGCTGTGCGTGGCGCCACTGTCCACCAGCACCACCACCTCCCGCTCCCCGATGTGGCCCCGTAACTTCATTGTGTTGGAGGAAGACACCCCACGAATGGAGTTGAGGGATAGGTCCACCCTCTCGGAGGCTTCCTCGACGTTCTTTTCCTCGTTGGTGGAGGTACTCCGGTCCGCCCCGCAGTCACCATCCGAGGATTCCTCTTCCTCCGCCATAATCAACACCTGGAGCTGGCGGTTTTTGCAACGGTGGCCGGGACCAAATTTCTCGTCGCACTTGAAACAGAGGCCCCGTGCCCGCCGGAATTGTGTCTCCTCTTCCGTCAATCGCCGGAACGTTGTGGGTTCTCCCGTGGCTGGGTTTGTTCCGGTCCCCGATCCCGTCCGTCCCCCATGGGTCCCTGTCATGGTCTCCGTTTTGGATCGAAGGGTGCTCTCGGAAGGGAAAGAAAAATTTGGGCCCTCTTGTGACCCACCCGGCCTACTCCACGCCTCAGCCCTAGGCGCCCGGCCCATCCGGTAGCACCTGACCCGGTCCGCTGCTTCATTACGGGCCTTCACTTGTTGGGCCAGGTCCATCATGTCGTAGAGACTGTTGGGCAGGTGCATCTTCAACTCGGCCTTGATGTCCTCTCTGAGCCCGTGGAGAAATGCTCCCCTGAAAATCGCATCGGGGACCCCTCTCATTTGGGCGGCCGTGGCTTCAAATTCATCCCGGAAGTCCGCCACGGTACTCTTCTGCCGGAGAGCCATGAGCTGTTCCGCCGGGTCCCCTTCCCCCATCTGTCCGAACCGACGCAGCACCGCCGCTCTCAGGTCCCTCCAGGACCTAAACGGGTCCTGAGTGTCCGCCCACTGGAACCAACCCAGGGCTCGCCCCTCCATACAGACCGACGCTACTACCACCCTCTCTTCCTCCTCCACCTCATTGACGGCGAAATACCGGTCCGCCCGGAATACCCACCCTTGCGGATCTGCACCGGTGAACAAAGGCATTTCCAACCTTCGTCCCCGATGTTCCACCCGCCCCCTGTGATGCGGTGGTGACTCCGGCCTAAGATCGCGCCCAAACCTCCTGTGCTCGTCCTCACGAAACGGCGGCGGAGGAGTCGCGGGTCGTGGATGGGCAGCCTGTCGTCGTGGCGCTTGAAATCGAGCCGGTCCCGCGTCGAAGCGCGGTGGTGGGTCCATCGGGTTCCGCGGAAGCAAATCCGCCTGTCGGAGAAAATTGTTCTCCAGCCGTTGCAGCACCCCCTGCACCTCTCCCAGTTGCGCACCGATCGCCGTCACGTTGTCTTGGAGCTGGGGAATGGGTTCTGTTAACCGTTCTACCAACTGGAGAGCCTCAAAATATGTGTCCAGCCTCCGTTCCAACCGCACTGTTTCTTCCTCCGGAACTCGTTCGCCAGCCGCCTCTGCCATGGATCGTTAGGCTCTGATACCAAACTGATAGGTTCCTGCCCAGATTTCCAGTTATCACAGCCAATATTGGGATAAATCCAACGTTAACAAGTTTTATTGATAATTTCTAATCTTCCCTCTCAATCGAGAGAAGTTCTTTCTTACACGATTAAACCAAATAGCAAGAAAAAAAGAAGAAAAACTAGCAAACAGAATGGCAGAAAATGGAACGTGGAGAATTCGAGGTTCTCCGTCCTCCAATGGTCCAGAATTCTTCCAAATATCTCGACCCCCTTCCCAAGGCTCTTCCTCGGCTCAAATACTCCCCGCACTCCCTTCACGTAACCAACTTGCCACGCTGGCACTTCCTTCACGTTGCCTCGCTGGAAATACTTTCAGTATTTCCACCTTCCTCCCCTCTTCTCAGCATATTACCCTTTGGGACCCTTTTCCTAGAGTAAACCAATCTAATAGGTGGCCTAACAAATTACTCATCTGATAGCAATATAATTATGCGGCACATTATAAGATGACAAAAAGTTGTGTATGTTGGAACCTGAATTTCAAGTTCCATGACAGCAAGTTCACTTTTAAAGTCAACCAAGGCTTCCTCCTTCATGTGCAACTGCAGAGATGAGAAATAAGAAAATGATTTCAGTCATAAGCGCTTTTTTTTTTTTTTTGCAGTAAATCTTGATAGCTACTATGCCACACTAGTAATAATCATATAGTTTTAATTTTTTCTTTTACTAGATTTATTCTCCTGGATGTATTTTCCAATCAGTAAGGTTATACATGGTGGTAAAGAACTTCAATTGAACAGGATAAACCTTAAAGGTAATAGAACCATACAAGTGGCATGGCCACTAAGAACAGAAGGGTTATGACATTAGATCTTTCTTAGAAGAACAAGTTTATGCCATAAAGCTGTGGAAACTTTCAAGCACACGTCTAGTAAATAGCTTAAGCAGATATAGTCATGTATATAATGTTCTCTTGCTCTATAGAGTCTCGACATATAAAGGTCTCAATTCTATTGCTTTACAGTAAATAGATCGTCATCTCATATGCATGGTAACGCCAAAAAAAGTAAATAGATTATGAAGATAAGATTATGTTTTCTGTTGTTCACATTCAAGTCTTTTTTTCCTGTTTAATAATAGTGTCATCTGGGATGTTGAATCTACAGTTTCTCCTCTGGCGCAAGAAAAAACCAAACAAATAAAACATAGAAACAAAAAGAAAACTTGCAAATCATAAATTTTGGTCGTTACTGATGATATATATAACATTACTATTCAATCAATTTAACAATGAACTATTTTTAACAGAATTCGCCTCAATATTACCATAGAATGTGAGAAGAAAAAAGTCAGCGGCATGAATTAAATACCTGCCGTTTGAGAAACCTGTTTTGTTGATTAGCTTCACTTAGTTTTCTAAGAAGGTTTGCTCGTTCAGAGTCTGCCAGCAGAGCCTTCAGCTGAGATGAAGTTTGAACATAAGTTAGTCAAAACCGTTGAGAGAATGATAATACATCCTTTTCAATTGACAAGAAGATAATTGTTGTTTAATTTAAAACGATAAGAACAAATTGAGTGACAAAGTCCATGCCTCATCACTGCTTAAGGGTTTAGAAAGAAGCTCCTCTGGTGATTCCTGTGATGACTCTTCAGCATTAGGATTATCTTCCGACCCTGTTGATGATGACTCCTCCAAATTAACCGATGTGCAATGCGCTCTCCAAGAACTAGAACTCACAGGATGCTTCCCAATAGAAGCTTGAAGCTGCATCAACCTGTGGCAGCCCGTCTTTGAATTCCTCAAAGTCATATTGTGTGGAGATTGGTGATAACTTTCCCCACCAAATGTTCTTGTATTCCATGAAAAACATGGTAATTGTTTTACCAGACAACACCTATCCAATTATGAAAGCAGCAAAGAATAATAATCTGAGTGATGCAGAAAAAGGAAATAGAAACAGTGTACAAGCATATCAAGCAAAACTAATGCTTCCAATCATTGTCGAACCAGAAACACAGGAAGGAAATCCTTAATAAACAAAGAGATACACTGTCTCCCTGACATTATCTAGGTTCCCTACCCTCTATCATTATCCATATAACCTTATTTTCGATTTTTTTTAAAAAAAGTATTAAAATAATAGTGATATGGTATAACATCAGTTGAAACTAATAAGAAGCAAAATGAAAATACATTAGATTGAGTTGGCAACATTTTCTACTTTGAGTAAGAAAAAGGCTTATTTTTGCATTAAATGTAGAGGTAAAAAGGACCCACCTGACTGAGCCCATCTCCATCTTGAAAAATTATCCTGCAAAAGGAGTGGGGAAAAAGAAAATATGGTTTCAGAACACTCTCTCATTTAGAGAACAAAGGAACAAGTTCTTGATTAAGCTACTCAACAGCGTAAGACCAATTAGTTACATAATTGGAATCAAATAAAATAAATAAATAAATAAAATTAACGAACAGTAATCAAAACTTTCTCCTCTGCGTGAATAACAAGAATTTTTGCTGAAAGAAGCTGATATGCTAATGAATGTGTAAAAGTTGTAAAGAAGATGAATTGTGAAGGACAAAGCATCAAACCCAGTAAGATTTGAACTCAGAACAGAGAAAAGTGAAGCAAAATCTTTAACCAAGAATTAAACATAAGATTGCATTTGCTGGGTACCTGGAAATCGAAGAGGTAATGATGAAAGAGTCGTTCGTCCTTGGTTGATGTTGAGTTGTTGTGTTCTTCAGTTCTTGATATTCGAGTTTGGCGCTGTTAATTGTAAATGGGGGTCACAATGAGAGTTCATGTAGATACAAATTACTATTATAAAGTTTTTTTTTTTTTTTTTTTTAACTTTGTCTCTTGACTTTGGGTCCTATTTTTTTTTCTTTATTTACTTCTTTAGTCTTTTACTTAATTTTATCATTTTTATAGTTTAATCTTAATCTTATTATCTTAGTCCCTTTATTTTATATTTGAGTTCATTTACTATTTATGTAGACACAAATTACTATTCAAATTTTAGTAAAGTTATTTTGTAAATTTGTGCATTTTGTCCTCTTGTGTTTTTTCTTTTACTTTTTTAACTTTTGTCCCTTGATTTTTGATCAACTTCTTTCTTAATTTGCTTCTTCAGTATTTTATTTTTATTTTTCCTATCTCCTTTACTTACACTTTGTTTGGTAAGATGGAAAGAAAATATAAGGAAAAATGAAACTATAATGCATAGAAAATTAGAAGGATAAAAAAAAATTTGATTTTTTTTGAACTTGTTTGGTGTGATAGGAAAGAAAGAAAATGAATCTACTCTCCCTTATTTGGTATTAGAAGTGAAACTAAAGAAATGAAAAAATTATTATTAGTGTAATTACTTTTTTACCTAAATATTTTTTTATTAATATTCTTTTCTAATAAAAGTATAAATAATACAATATTCAACATTAAATTAACTCAAAAAATTCATGTAACTTATACATATATTCTATCTATATTATGTATATATACACACATATGTATAGTTCAACTTATATAGCATTAGTGCAACAGTTATTTTTTTAACGTTTAAATACAATAAAAGAGTAGCTAGCTACAATTTAAATACAACAACTTGTTGAAGGTTCAAATACAACAAAAAAGTGACTAGTATATACTATGCATCCACTATTGTAAAGTAATCGAAATTTCTCACAAAAGTATTAGTTTGTATGGTCATGTATATTTTCCAATATTCACCTGCAGTCAAGTATCAACAAAAATTATGTGTGATCAGCTAAGTACCATGTAGATATATTTACCAAAAGGGTTCAAGTATCAACACAAATTATGTGTGATCAACTAAGTACCATGTAGATATATTTACCAAAAGGGTTATAAACTAGTGTGACTACTAAACTTCTAAACCATATGATTTCAGTCTTCATTGTTCTACATCATTTTCAAGAGCAACTCTTAGCGATGATGACTTGGAACTGCAAAGAAAACTCACTTTTGTGATGCACTTTTGATTAAAAATAGAAAATATTCCAATTGAAGATTATCAGGAACTCCAATGTTCATTACTTCAGCATAAATTTCTTCTTCGAAATAGATACGTGGTTGTGCTTTTTCAGATTGCCCTCTTTAATTACATCAGCCACAACACTCATATCAGAGTGAAGCATTCCAATATGCTTGTCAAGTGAATCAATCATGGAAGCTTTTCTTTTTACACCTTTGGATGCATTTATAACTTGAGAATTAATGGCTCAACAGTGAAGCATCTTCTTACTTATTTTCTTATTTCCATTTTAAATTTGTCATTTGCTAGTGCCATGCCATCCTCTCATACTCACAACAAAATCTCATTAAAATTCAAGTGAAGCATCCACGCGTGCAAAGCACGCCGTTTTTAACTAGTAAAGAAGATAAGGTTGTGTGATATGAATATGATGGTTCACTTCACTGTTCGTGATCGTGATCCAACGACAAACAAGAATTTGGAAATTGTAGTTAGTAAAATGAACTCTTATTCGGAATCACAATTCACAAACAAAAGAAATTGTCCCCAATTATTGATTTATAAGTAATTTTTTATTTGAAAAAAAATATTATTAAGAGTGTAAAATAAGTTTATTAACTAAAAGCTTAATATTTATTATGTATACTGCTTGAAATGAGAATCCTTCTGAATGTTATATTTTTATCCTTATTTTAAAGTTCAGTTTTTATTTTAATCTTTTTAAATTTATTTTAACCATAATTTGTCACTTTTATTAGAAAAGTCTAATAATTACAATTTTATGGTTTGAATTACACCTTAATATCTCGTTTATAAAGTGAATATATTAAAATCTAGGTCTTGGTCAAATCATGTGCTTCGATATTATTAAGAAAACAAATGATTTAAATGAAAACAAATCAAATTTAAAAAAAAAAAAAAAAAGCTACTTAGAGGGTACATATGAGAAGGAAAAAATATGTTTAAGCAAAGTCACATTTGAGAAAAAAACTATTTCGATGGTGTCCACAACATATACATATAAGTCACATTTAGTAAAATAAGTTTTCAGAAGATTGTTTGAAAAAATAAAAATTATTGTAGACATATTTGAGAAAAATTAACACTGTATAATTATTACAAATTAGAAGAATAAAATATATTTTAAAATAGATTTATTGTTTTAAAGTTGTAAAGAAAAAAATAAAAAGAAAACGAATAAAAAAGTGATAAAACACATTGTAAAAAAGGAACATGTCCTATAGCAAAAGCAAGGTGAGAGAGAGAGAGAGAGAGAGAGAGAGAGAGAGAGAGAGAGAGAGAGAGAGAGAGAGAGAGAGAGAAAAAAAAAAAGAAAAGAAAGAAAAGGGGAGAGAGAGAGAGAGAGAGAGAGAATCAGAACACACACAAAAAAAAAAATAGTGAGACCAAGTTATTGAATAGTGCCCAATTGAAACCTCCTTTATAATATAGTTATATATTCTAGATAAAACGCAAACACGGATAAGAAAAATGTACATAATTTGGAGTTTTGTAGGAGCGAATTTCGTAATTTACTAATTTATCAAATTTTATTTCAGGGAAATTTGGATGAATAATACTATAGACAACAACTCAAATCTCAATTTTTGTAACTTCAACAATTTTCTCTATTTATTATTACTATTATTATTATGCTATTTATTCCCAAACACAAATTACCTGACTATTTTGTCCAGTTGTCAAACCAGGCCTTATGCATTGGGCTTCCACGTACATAGGACAATAGATGGTACTGCACGACGCAATATTAAACGGGCTAGCCCAATATTTTTGGACACAAAGCTAGATAAGAGCATGAGGTTGGGTATGATAATCAGCACGTTAAACTGTGATTAATTTACTTTAATAAGTTAATTTACCTTTTAGAATAAAAAATTGCTCATTTGGTCTCCAAACTCGTTGGTTGTAACTAAAAAAGTGCGAAAGGACCAAAATGTTTGACGTCCATTCTAATTTCTTACAATTCTTTATCACGTGAGAAGCACGTGATATTAACTTAGCATGATTGTTTTTCCCTACTGGTGCTTCTGCGAAAAGAGCCATAAAGGAATGTGTAATTCTTAAACATGGAAGAGAAGTTTGTAAGTAATGACAGGACAAGGATTAGGGAAAAATGTAAGTGGAAAAGCACCGGGCTTTCGAATTGAATGAACAACGGACGTGTGGTCTTAAATCCAAGTCCGAATCAAGATGTTTGCATTTTTAATGAGGTGTTCAAAATTTGACTCGGGGACGACAAGAAAAAAATGATAGAAAATCGAACTCCAAATTAAGTAGTACGCCAAATAAAAAAATAAAAAAATAAAAAATAAATTTAAATGGGCAAACTAAAGTGAGTGCCCACAGCTCAAGCAAGAAAAACAAAAACATTATTATCATGCCCTTAAATTTTAGAATCATTTTCAATTTAATCTCTAAATTTTAAAAACTCTCACTTTTTCTTTTAAATTTTGAATTATTCATACTTAATTTCTTTTATTATAATTTATATTAAAAACAATTAAAAAATATATATAATGCAATCACTTGTCTTTCTGTTTAAATATCTATTAAAAAAAAAACAGATAACAGCAGCAGCGTACCCATAACGCCAAACAATAATGAACAAGAATTAAGAATGCAAGAATAAATAGCACCAATAAGGCCAAACAATAATAAACAAGAATTAAGAATGCAAGAATAAATAGCGAAAAAAAAAAAAAGGAAATGAGAGTAGAAGCTCGGAGAAGCTTCCATCAAGCTGGCTAAACAAAATTCCAAGCGCATGAGGCGGCTGGGTCAATTTTCTGTATTACGAAAGGAGATCTTAATTAGCCACCAATGAAGCTTCTTAGCTCAAAACAATCAAACAGAAAAAGACAAAAACAGGATTAAGTGGAGTAACCATCGCGGCGCGTGATCCATGTGATCTAATTTGTAAAACCGCACGTCGTTACGCAATCAATATTGAACATTTGACAATTGACATAGAAAGTGATAAAAAAACAATATATATATATATATATATATATATATTTGTTGTATTTTAAGCTGCAGTTCTTTTGTGGCGTCTATAAATAAATAAGGAAATAAGACACAGAGCGTTAAGCCACAAAACCCAACTGTAGTCTGTACTTGTATATCCTTCCACCAACAAAAATAAAGGAAGGAAGGAAAAAAGAAAAACCTCAAAAGCATATAAATCATCATAGGGTATAAATCTGTTGTACTCTAAAAACTTCTATTCTATTATTGTTATCCCAGGCCTGACTTTTATCGGTAAAATTTGAAAAAGATTCGAGTATTGGTATTAATGGAGAACTGGTTGGGACTTCTTAGAATTCATGTGCAGAGAGGAGTGAATCTTGCTATCCGAGACTCCATAAGCAGTGATCCTTATGTTGTTGTCAGGATGGGCAAGCAGGTAATTAACAAACTACTTTTTTGGAATTTTCATTCTTGGACAAACTTCTTTTTTTTTTTTTTTTTTGGATTCTGGGTTTCATGTGGTTTATCTTTCAGTAATTGTAGTGATTCTGGGTTTCGAATTTTGATCTCAATGCTCAAGATTTTGGTCTTAGTCCCTACTAAATTATTTTCCTTGGCTAAAATAATCTTTATGCTTTTTGGTAGAGGAGTAATCAGCCAGGGAAAAGGAATCTTAATTTTTTTTAATTTTTTTAAATTTTTTTCTTTAATTACTCGGATAACAATTACTTGCTTCTTCTTTTCACAGTTTCACTGATGTTTTTCTGAAACCGTTTATTTGTATATCCTGCAGAAGTTGAAGACTCGTGTCGTGAAGAGGAACGTGAATCCAGAGTGGAATGATTTTCTCACGCTTTCCGTCACTGATCCAAATACTCCAGTTAAGCTGGTAAATAAACATTATTTTATTCCTCGATCATGCTTTTCAATTTTCATATTTGGCAAACAGTTTGTAAATGACACCAAAATTTTGTACATGTATTGGCAGTTTGTGTATGACAAGGACACTTTCAGTTTTGACGACAAAATGGGAGACGCAGAATTTGAGATTGGCCCGTTTTTCAAGGCAGTGAAAATGGGTTTGCAATTGCAGGGCTTACCAGATGGAACCATAATCTCAAAAGTGGAAGCCAACAGGCAAAACTGCGTTGCTGAGGAGAGCAAGATTTTGGTCTCAAATGACAAAGTTGTTCAGAACATGGTTTTGAGGCTGAGGAATGTCGAGTGTGGTGAAGTTGAGCTTCAGTTGCAATGGATTGATGTTCCCACCTCAAAGGCCTTGCAGAACAATTAGTATAGACAAAGTAGAAAAAGAGTATTTGAGTTTAAGAGAATGTTCTTTAAAACTTGAGTCCTATTCTCGTTTTGTAATAGATATATACAAGAATGTTCTTTTGTTCTTGAAAACTTTACATGCATCTTCTCGAAGAAACAAGAAGGATGTCCAACAATCATGTTTATTTAATTAAATAATTTTGTTTATGAACTGCTTTGTGGTTGGAATTATTCCCAACAAGCACAACAGCAACACAAGCTAAGCTGTCTCCAGGGTTGTCAAGATTGAGAAAGCAGCGTTGTGGCGGATTAAGCATTAAAAAATGGTTGTGTTATACCAAACAATGAAACTTTTCCAAAACAATTATCAGCTACACTAGGATTAGGCCAAAGCCTATAAACCTATGTTTTATGCATAACAATGCTTGATGTAAAAAAACATGTTGTTCCTTAAAAATAGGAAAAAAAAAAAAGAAAAAAGCAAAAGAGGATGCGGTAAGTACATTTAAGCAACTGTTGTACAAAAAATATGTATATATAAATAAGAGAGTTTCTCTGGTAAAATAAAAAGAATAACCACTAATAGTTCTCTATTTTAAGCTGTCAATCTATATCAAAAAAATTTGACATATTTTTTTAATTTGAAATGATTTTAACCAATTAAAAATTGATACTATCAATAGGTCTAACCTATCAGAGAAATTCTCTACAAATAAAATAAAAGGATTTTATTTCTCCTAGCTAATTACCTCCATCTTTCACTAATAGGCCAAGTTTTATTAAATTAAGAAAAATGTCGTGTTTAGAAATAGTTAATCAATGATATGATAAGTTGTGATTTTTCACTAATTAATAAAAACGACTAGGCGGTGAATTACTAATAGGCCAATTTGAATAAATGATTAACCAATTTCATATAATAATTTACTGGTCCATAAATGATAATTCTCTGATTAATCAATAGTAGACCAATATATCAGTCATTGGCGTATTATTGATTAACCATTGTAAGAGAAGAAAGGTCATTAACCGAAAAAACAATTCGGCTATTAATTAAAAAAGAGCGACCAAAACCCGTCATCTACCTAATTTGAATAACAGATTTTATGTGATTTGTTAATGATACATTTTACAAATACTCTTGGACTATATACCTAGTTAAATATGTCCCTAGATTTTATTATAAGGCCATTTCATACCCTAAACTATGTGAGCTAGTTCAAAATATCCCCTTAGTTTATAATACTAACAACATAGCGACGTAACACTACTTATAATTTTATAAATATATCTAGAACTAGTGATTTTAAGTTAATTTGTCCTCTCAGTTTGTGTAAATTTACCCTCTAATTTTTTTGACAACTAAGAAGAAAGTTGACACAAAATTAATAATTTAAGAGGAATTTATGTTATTTTTTTACATGGTACATAATTCAAGAATATTGATGAAATTAATCCGATTTGTAAAACATATAATTGTCAGAGATATTATGTCCTCTCAAAAACATGAGTAAAAAGATGCATTTCACTAAAATACATGTTGCACCCGTTTAGTTTACTAATTCGAGTGTTTAATTCGAATTGAGATATGATTTTATGTAAGAGCTTTTTACTGTAACAAAATAGTTAGATGTGACTGTTTTTTAGAGCTTTTTACTGTAACAAAACTCAAATCGATAAAATGAACGAGGCTGTTGTATTTCTCTTATTTATTTATCATGTAAATAAATTATCAGTGCTGAAACTTTGGACGGGCCGCCCGTGACCACCGAAAAGTCTGAATTTTTGCCCAATGACCAAACCCGATCTGCCCGAAAATTCAGGCTGCCAGACCCGACCCGAAAATTCCCATGGACGGGCTTCGGGCAGAGGAAGCCTGCCCGTGCCCGGTCGGGCTGCCCGATGCCCGACCGGCTGCCCGAAATTTTTTTTTTATATTATATTTTTATGTTGTTGAAATAAGTATTTGTATAATTACAATGTGTAATTGTGTATATTACAATTTGAAATATGAAATGAACACACGACACGAACGAACTATATAAAAAAAAATTACTTCTTCATTGATTTTTAAATTTGTAATTCATGATTGCCTCATTAAAAACCTTACCAAGAAAAACCCAATTGGGATAAAAACTTGGTAAGGAAAAAAGAGTGCAATCATTGTGGGACGAATTACAAATTTGATGAACTTACAAAGTCTATACAAGATTACAAATTACAATAAACACTATACAAATTAGAAATTACAAAGTAAATAAATATTTACAAAGAAATTATCAAGATGAAGCAGAAGGATCATCTTGAAAATTAAAAGTTAATCTATTAAATTCGTCGATCCATTATTGGTTTGCCGGTGAGATTGTATCGTGTAAGCGTTGGTTGGAACGGTCCCAATCCTTGATGCACACCAAAGCTTCAACAATATCCTGCTTCAATGCGTTTCTCCATTCTTCAAGTATTCGGCCGGTTGTACTGAATGCTTGTTCGGCTGCAACGGTGGAGACCGGGATTGAAAAAATATCCATTGCCAGTCGTGTTAGGATC